GCCACAAGCTTGGGGGGATCCAGTCTCAAAATAAAACAGAAAACAAGGGCTGGGGATGTAGCTTAGTACAAAGGCCCTGTGTTCAATCCTCAGTATGGGTGGGTGGGGTGGGGTGGCGTGGGGGTAGATAATAAACTACCTATAATCCTAACACTTAGAGTGAAACAGAAGAATAATGAGTTCAAAGCCAACCTAGGCTACTGGAGATGAAGCCTGATACTGAAGTGAAATAGCTCCCTGCCAAAGAACACCAAAGATTGCTGGCAACCACTGGAGTTTGGCAAGAAGCAAGCAATGGATCCTCGCCCCTATTCCCCTTAACCATCACCACAACCAATCCTTGGGAGGGAGGTGACATCTTGATCTTGGAAAATAGCCTCCAGAACTGTAAGAGAAGAAATTTGTTTAAGCTACCTAATCTGTAGTAATTCATTATGGTAGCCATGGGAAGTGAACACAGGATATTATGCTATTGTACTCATGTTTTAAAATTTCCATAATTTGCAAAAGACCAACGACACATTCTTCATGGATGAAGAAAGGCTGTGGCAAGGTTGCAGAGACCTTACACAAGGATTCATGCCAGTGTGGCTCAAGGTCAGATCAAAGTCCCATCCCAGCTCTCCCACTAAATGAGTCCCTGGCCCTCCTTCTCAAGTCCCCTCTCAAAATAAGGGATTCAGGACCTTTCCACAGATCATCCAGATGGCACCTGTCACCTTATACTATCTATCATTCAGCTTTCAATACACCAATGCAGAGGCCTCCGGTTCTTCTTCCTGCCTGTCTGAACATGTTTCTTCACAGAACTCTTCTTGTGTGGACTTCGTCACCACTTCTTGTTCTATAAACTCAAGTGCATTCTATAGTGTCTTGACAGCCACTCTGCATAAAACCAGGGCCCAAAGGTACATAGAGAAAATGTGGGCAAAGAGAGGGCTTAAGTGGGAAGAGGTTGAAGGGGAACTCACCTTCTTGTGGGGCAGTGCCCCTTTTGTGTGACTTCAGATCAACTCTCCATGGGAGAGCTAGAGGTAGGGCAAGAGAAGTGGCCTTTGGGGCTACCATGTCTAGTTAGTGGAAGGAAGGCTTAGTCACTTGCCTAGGACAAGGGAAGGATCTCACTGAACACTGAATAGCCTGGCCTGGCCCCTCCAAGTCAGACTCATTCACAGGGAGTCAGCATGCTCCCAGTAACAGAGCCTCCCATTATCATCTGCAGCCACCCCAATGAGTACTCACAAGGCCTGACTCCTGAGGCTACATCTGCACCAAATCTTCCAGAGGAGACTATAGTAACCCTACGGTAATTTAAGGCCTGATATACCTCAAAGCTATCAGGTCTCCCACCTGAGAAGACTCTAAGGGCTTTGTCTTTCAGGCTTGGCCTAACAGCAGCCCCATCCTGACCACTCAGAGGCATGCAGGCAGTGTGACACAGAGGGTTTATTTCGACCATATTAGCTCGCCATTATTCCACGCCTGGGCTCAGCAAGCCTGTCTGTGGTAAGTCCCCTCTTCATTTTCCAAGTCCATACCCTGACTGACCAGCAGGCTTACTCAGCACTCAAGAACACTCTCTTGCGTGAAGTGTTTGTATAGGGGTGCCAGCGCCATTCCACGTCTGCTGTAGCCTCTTGCTCCAGTGTGCCCAAGCGAATCATGTACACTGCAGAGAGAGAGGGAGGGACATTATCGCCTGCCCAGAAACCTCTACTCCATTGGCTTCCCCATGGGTGGGGGAAAAAGCCCAAAACTTACACTTTAGCTCAAAGCGAGGCCCGACCTCTGTCAGTTCTATGTTCCGGTGGTCGGTCTTCTTGTAGACATGGTGCCTGAGAAGCCAGGGTAGGAGTGTGGGTTGGCTGCAGGTATAGATCAGCCATAGCAGCACAAAGGACACAGAAATCATGATAGCAACTCAGGCCCAACCCATGAACCCACCGGAATGAGATGTAGTCGTCCTGATTTGCAAAGGTAATAACCCGGTGGCTGTCATCTTTGGGCACAGGGAACAGGTATCTGAGGATGTCAGAGACCTGAAGCACAAGGAAAGAGTGGCAAATGCCTGGCCTGGCCCCTAGCCCTCTCCCCAAGAGCCCCAGACTTACCCGTTTGCCCAGATGAGAGGAGAAGCCATGGAAGATGAGGTGGGGCTTAGCCTCTGACATGGTTCCCAGGTCCGGGATGTCATGCCGCATGACAACATTACATATTGTGAAGTAAGCAGTGGGGCCAAATGGCAGGTGGCTGATAATGAGTCCCACTGTGGAGGCCAGGCAGACCATCAGAGACAATGTCTGATCTCAGGCCACTCCCAGACTTCTCTCCATCCCACCAACCTTACCAGGCGTGCCTCGATGTTCATGGACAACTAAGAGGTCAGTGACTCCATTGGCTTTGCAGGCTCTCACCAGTGCCCCCACCTCATGTCGGCCTCTGTTCATGCGCTGGGCACCAGGGAACACCAGCTTCAGTTCCTATACATGGACCACAGTGTCCCATTAGGCTTAGGGCCACTGATGCTAGGCATCTCCTCTCACTGCCTGCCAACTGGTACCTTTGCAAACATCTTCAGGCGGGAACTGGGATCTCGGGAGGTAGTGATCATGACCTTGGGATCCTCAACCCCTGCCCATCGATATTCATCATCCACGTGGCTGGTCACACCTGTCAGGAGCCCAAAGTGCAAGAATGTCACCCTGTCTTGGATGTGAAATACTAACCTGGAAGCGGCAAATCTGTTTGAGAAAATGTTCAATGATGCGAACATGCCATACCCACACTGGTCAAGAGGGCAGCCATCAGCCCACTGGCTACAAGTACAACGAGATCTGAGGAATGGAATCTCAGTGTTGGGAAGATTTTGCTAAGACCTACTTCTTTCCTTCAAAACAAATACCTATAATGTTTATGATTCCTATTTGTTGAATAATGCAATGAATGAGATTTGGGCACTAAAGATGTGCTGTGTTAGGGATACTATCCTGCCCCGGTGGACACTCCAGTGGGGATGACAACTAATAAAGAAAGTGGAGCACTACTGTGTTGCACAAATGAACTGGAAGTACTGAAAGAAAGCCCCTGTGGTGCCATCTGTACAGGCATAAAAGCTCCTACAGGACAGACAGTTCAGGAGCAGCTTCCATGTACAATTTTCTCAGGTGGGAAAGTGCACTTTGTGTCTGGGAAGGGGATGGGTGCCACTGGGCAGAGGAGTCAGCTCAGCGTTGGGAGTTACACTGTATAGTACCTTCACCACCAGCGTCATCAAACTCCAGGGACCCCTGTAAGGCCAGAGCCTCCCGGCGTAATTCAGTGGGAATGATGTGGTTTTCTGCAGAGAAAAGACAGAGGGGCCAAATGAAAATCAAGTAGGAAGCCCTCGGTTTTTATCACACTTAAGCAGTAAAACGTTTTTTTCCAGCTGTGACCCCAGATAGGTTCCAAAAAGAAGTTTCACAGCCTCTTTGTTACCAGCCACTTACTCATATACTCAGGTTTGCCTGCTTGCTGCTGACCCAATCAAAGGAGGCCATATATTTGGGTAAAAAGGAAAAAGGACATATTTAAACTCAGCTCCCAGGAGGTGGAGGGGCCCGTATGTCTCAAATCACCATCTCACCATCCACAGGTGGGCAAGGTCTTTACATTAAGGAACAGAGGAGAAAGAGAGCACAGAGAGATACAGAAATGTACATCTGCACATTTATCACTTTCGGCTATCTTCAGCTCATTGTTCCCTTTTCTGTGGAAAGGAAACTGGGCTCCAGGTTTCCTCTGGTCAGCACCTGAATATTCTAGTTCATTCATCTGGGAGGAGCCCACTTTTTTCTAAAGAAAAACCAAACCAAACCAATACTAACTTTTAAAGTTCCATTTTGCAGTGCCGGCTACACCTCTGGGTTTTATAGAAGCTTCCTTTATCTTTCTGTGTTAGCCTCTAGAGGCACTGTGTCAACCTTAAAAGAGCATAGGGGGCCGGGATGTAGCGAGGTCAGCCGCACAGCACCTGGCTGGCAAGCAAGAGATTCTCAGTTCGATCTCCGGTAGCAAAAAGGGGGGTGGGGGATAGGGAAGGGCGATCAAGCTGTAAAACTCGGAACTTCGGCATGTGACAATTAGTACCAACACATGAAAGGAACACTGAAAAGTCAACAGGAAGCCCCAACAGGCAAGGAAAATGGCATGTAAATATTGAAAATATCCTCGGCCACAGTAACACAAAGACGTTTTCTTGCCCCGCTTGGGCTGGGCAACAGTACCTTCGAGCGCGCGCCGGACCTTCTCCTTCCTTTCCAAAGCGGTGCACTGCGCCTCCTCCCGGGCCTTGCGGTACAGGTATTCGCGGCGCAGGCGGGCCTCGCGGCGCAGCTAGACAACAAAGAAACAGCTAGCAGGATCAGTCCGGACGACTCTCGAGGACCACAGTCCCAGCCCTCCTCTAGACCCAGACTCAAATACCTCCTTACCATCCTGAGGGCCACTTCCACGTGAATCTAGAACTATAGGTGTCTCCAGCGTCTGGGAGTCCTCGCTTCCGCCCTCAACCTGGAGCTTCTTAGGCCCTAGGGCCGGCGAGAATGCCCGATGTTAAGATGGCAAACAGCGGAAGTTGTAACAGCGTAGTCGTTGGAGAAACCAATAAACTGTAGTATGTTATCACGTGGCTCGCTACCGCCTTTAGTAAAGATGTCTGCCCACAGCTTCACCACTGGCTACTTCGGTGGAGGATGGCCAATTTTAATCCGAAGAACCGCTGAAACAACCACAACTGCGGCTCGAAACAGCCATCAACTGCAGAAGTCGCACAGCGAATGACTGTTAGAATTGTTTAAAGCCGCTGCTCCCTTAGAAAGGTTCTCATCCAGCTTTGTTTTCTTTCATAGCCTGCCTTTAAAGTTTTAAAAATTCATAGCTTCTGGAAGCGATAGAAACCACCCTTCGCAACCACCTCGCAAACAGTCGGTTGACTGGTTCCTTGCGGGAAGAGTCGGGGTCACAGGTTGCTCCGCGTTGCTTGGGAAGGTTACTGGCTTCCGGGCCACGAATGGAAACGCCCTTTGGGGCGGGCCTCGCGAACATATTGGTTGTCCTGCCGGCGCGACTAGCGGTGATTGGACAACCTGAAAGGCGACGGCTCCTTAGCCTTAGCGTAACCGAGAAGAGACTGTGGCTGGCCATGGCTGGTCAGGACCTGCGGAAAGAGCTGGACTCACTGCTCCTGCAGCTGCTCAGGGACCTGGAGGAGCTGGAGGCGAAGAGGGTGGCGCTGAACACCCGGGTGGAGGAGGTGAGCGTCTGGGGAGGGAGGGAAGGAAGGAAGGTATACAAACGTAAACTGAATGTCCACACTCTTTCATCTCTTCAGGGCTGGCTGTTGCTCGCCAAGGCTCGCTATGTCATGGGTACCAAGTCGGTCGGGCCCCTGCAGTATCCCTCTTGCATGGAACCTCGGGTCTTCGTGCGAGCCAGGTGAGGAACCGGCAATACTGAAGTGGGTAGGTGGGGCCCAGGCTCAGATCATCGACGGTCTATCATCCCTTCTTGTTCTTCAGCGAGAACCAGGACACAATGCAGACATTCAGGCTGGTGAGAGCTGACGCCCAGACTCCAGAGGAGGTGGAGCCTCGAGAAGCAGGTGAGTTGCCTTAAAAGTCATGAAATAGTTGAAAAATGACTATTCAGGCTTTGGCAATAGAGAGAACTCCCCTGAACTGAAGATTGCCATAGGGAGGTTTTGCTTTAGACTTACAGGGAGGATTAGAGAAGTTATATGTGTGTGCCTTACATTTGGGATAGTTTTGCAATCAAAGGAAGTCTCAATCAGCTGATCAGAAGATAAAATATTCACCTTTGTGTCCGGTTATTTTGGAGGAAAAATCTTCTAATTCCAGTGAATCATTCCCGGGATAAAGAATAGGGGCTTGGAGGGTCTGTGTCAGATCTTTTGGCGTGTTCAGGTAAAATGAATAAGGTCAGTATGTGGCCTTGTCATGGGCAAATGACTCATCTGTGGGTTTTATAGGAGCCATGAGAGAGAATGGACAGGGTATTTGAATTATAAGGGTGGTGATGTTTCCATGAACACAGAAGTTTGGGAGGGTTTTCCTGGCTATTTTAGTTACTTGTTTTGAGGACACAAAACCTGACACAACTTAAGGAAGGAGAGATTTGGCTCACTTTCAGTGCACAATCAGCTAGCTCCAAGGGAGGGTGTTATGGCAGAGGGGAGGACAGCTGCACATGATGTGGTGGACAGGAAGCAGACAGGGTCAAGGAAGGTACCAGGAAGGGAGATACAATCTTCCAGGTCCATAGGAACCACCTCTTCCAATCAGAGCCTGCCCCCACCCCTTAACAGCAAGTCAGCTGTAACACACCCCCATAATTCAATCGCCTTCCAAAAACCCCACCTCTGAGCCCATGAGGCTCTTGGGGGACATCTAGATATAAACTATAAAAGCATCCTTCAGTGTTTTGCAGAATCAGAGATTAAACTAAGCTCAATGTTGTCACTAAGACAATAAAGGCCAGCCTCTAGCCTTTCTTTCCTCAGCGCTGCGCAGGCGGAAGGGCCCCAACAAGTCTCCAGAACCAGAGCTCTCTGCAGCCCCACAGGACCCCCTGAACTGGTTCGGAATCCTGGTTTCTCACAGTCTTCGACAGGCCCAAGCCAGCTTTCAGGATGGTAAGCAGATCTGGCTAGTTGGCCATGTGGCCCTGGATTAAATTCTGGCCCTCTGTCTACAGAGATCGCTTTAGTACTAACACCACGTTAAGGCTTTGCAGGTTTTCTCCATTGCAAATGTTTGTTGCATTCTGCCGTTTATTCCAAAAGCATTCATTGGCTGATTGCATCATTCTAGGCTCATGCTAGCTGCCAAGGATACAGCAAGGAACAAAAAGGACAAAGTTCCCTCGTGGAATGTTTATTCTGTAGAAGAGAGAAAGGGAATGCACAAGTAAATAGGCCTTTAATATGATGTAAGTCTGTGAAAATTGTTATTAAAAAAAGTAATATAGGATGGAATAGAACAGGAGTGGGCTCGGGAGTGTTGCATGAAGGGTTAGGGAAAGTCTCTGAGGAGATGAAGGGAAGCTCTCGGTGTTGTGGGGGAACTGTTCAAGTCAAAACGATTCTGAGGGGAGATGTGTCTTGTGTGTTGAAAGAGCAGAGAAGAAGCCAATGGGCCAGAGTGGAGTCGGTGCAAGAGGAGTGCCAGTATCTGTGGGCAGGGGGTCATGGCTTGGGTGAAATAACTCCTGATTGAGGACCTAAGAAGCTGCGGTATGGCTTTGAGCTGAGGATTAGGAAGTAGAACTCAGGTTAATAGGACTCCTTTGGGCATTTGGTGGAGACAGATTGGATGGCAAAGACCAAAGTTTCCAGGAGCAGATGCAGATAGAAGTGGGGCATTTTGAGAACCTACCAGTTTTGAATAGAAGCCCCAGCACTTATGGTCAGATGGATGCAGAGGTGGGAAGAAAAAGGAACCCAAGAGAGAAGGCTGGGGGGATGGAGCTATTCTCACTTAGATTGGGCAGGCTGTAGAGTAGAAGCCAAGGGGAACGTGAGAGGTCAGTGTGGTGCATTCTTGTGTGCTGTGTAGTGTCTGCCAATGCCCAGATGCGACATCTTGGTCGTAGTTGGGGTACCTGCCTCTGGAGTGTGTAAGATCTTGGGCTGGAGAGAGATTTGGGAATTCACTCTGTAAGTGCTGGTGTTTAAATCCTCAAGTTGTTGACACAGATTCAGGGTTAAAGCTGAGATGGGATGAGATCAGAGTGGGCCCAAGAATGTGGATGGAGCTATAGGAAAGGAGACTGAGGAACAGCACCTGGAGGGTGGGGTGTCCCAGATAACAAGAGGAGGAAATGTTACCTGGAAAGAGTGATAAGATGTACTGCCAAGTAGGAGGACTGGTTGATGTGAAGCTCTAGATGGCAAAGGTGTTGGCAAAAGCTACCTAGAGGTTGATCCAAAGTCTGTATCACTTTCAGAAGCAAAGAAAAAAGATGGAGGGAGAGTGGGTAAGAACAGCAAGGAAGTATGATGATGGAAGGAGGAGGGAAATGAGCCCACAAGGAGGTGTTAAGATCTGAATTTTCATTCTTGGTGGGTGATAAAGGGTGTTAAGGAAGCTTTCTGAAGAGGTGGCGCCTTAGCACAGACCTGAAGCAGGTCAGAGTTTGGGTTCAGTAAGCTGCAGAAGTAGCCAATGCATGGCCATACCTGGAATGTTTTAGGGATAGGGTGGAGGCCAGAGAGACCTGAAGCCTTTGCAGTCCAGGGGGATAGGCTGAGGTGTCCAGAACTTCCTGGGTCATGTTTCACACCGCAATATCATGGTGACATTTTCTCTTTCTTCTCCAGCCCTTCAGCTAGCTGCAGATATAGCCAGCCTCCAGATCCACATTGACTGGTGTCAAAACCAGTCCCAGGGGCTACGGGAGAAGCTCAGGCAGCTGGATTCCGGTGCTGCTTGACTTGTGTCCACAGAGCCAGACATTGAGCACTGCTGTTCCTGAATGTGGCTGCCTTATCTCAGGCCTTCTTTCTTCACAGATAGCCCCTACTCCTACCACTTTCTGGAATTGCATCCTGTCCTTTCCCAGAGAGTAAAAATAAATACAATTGTCATTACTTCCTACTCATCTGCCTCAAACCCACTTCTGGCTCACAGGAAAGTTAATTTCTAACAAATTTAAGATGTAAGGAACTCAGCTCATGTTTCCCCCAAAATAAGAAAGCAGAATTGCTTTTCATTAAAAAAATTTTAAAATTTTCATGCAAGGGCAGTTTGTTTCTAGTATTTTTAAAAATTCTTTTTTTTTCTCTAGCTTTTTTCTCCCTCCAGTATTGCCTTTTCCAGTACAACGTAAATCAGACATCTTTTTATGCTGCTTTTTCTTTCCTAAGAAAAGTACTGTATCTTGAAGACAAACCATTCCCAAGAGTAATGATAAAAATAATATTAAAACAACTTTAAAGGTAAGCCACCTACATTACCTTGATGAACTAAAAACAAAAGCAGTTGACACTAAGACAGCTATTCCAAATATGTGTCTAAACAATTTTAAAAACTGCTTATTTATTTAGTAAGAATGCACCCTTAGTCCAAAGTAACTATGTTTTAAAATTTTTTTGACCCAACAATTTATAAAACCCCTTTTAATTCAACTTAATAAAAATGATACCTAGAAAATATTCCACATTATTAAGTCTATCTTTAAAAAATTTCAGATTCTGAAGTATTCCTAAGGCATGGTGTTCTGGAAGACAAATGTGCTTCTGCTGGCATTGTGTTACACATGAAGCAGTGTGGCAGGAACTGTCCTCTGATGCCGTGGGACTGAGAGAACTCAGATGTAGGCTCCCAGGGCGGTATGGAGCTCTGTAAGACACTGGACCAGCTGCTGAAACTTGAGCCTCTCCTCCGGATCTAAGGCCCAGCAACAGGCCATCACAGCAAATAATTCATCAGGACAGTTGATTAGCTGGGCTATTCGGTAATCATCTTTTAGGTATGTGGCCATCTCAAAGGGGTCAATGTCCACATAAGGCATCTGGCCCAGAGTCATAAGCTCCCACAGTGTTACTCCAAAGGCCCACACATCACTAGCACTAGAGAACTCATTATTAACCAGACTTTGAAGAGCCATCCATCGAACTGGCCTGTTTTCATTGTCCCCCAGACAGTGATAGTCCATAGGGAACAAGTCTCTGGAGAAGGCATTGTCTGTGATCTTAACTTGAAGTGTGTCATCAGTGACACAGTTTCTAGCAGCCAGGTCTTTGTGGATGACTTCCCTTCTTGCCAGGTAGCTCATTCCACAGGCAATCTGAATAGCCATATGTACCAGGTCTTGCTGAGAGATTGCCTGTGGGTTATTGGCCTCTACTAATTTGCATTGCTGTAAAAACAATTTAAGATTCCCCCAATTCATGTAAGGCAGCATCACCATGGGCTTTTCTCCTGTACACATATGAGTAATAGGAAGAAGATTTCTGTGTTGAAGACCTCGCAGCTTATAGCTTTCTGTCAGCATCCTGGTTACCTGGATCTCAGAGGCATGATCTTTAACTGTTTTTATAAATGTATGTTTTTCTTTATTTGGATCTTTTTCATCCACTAAAATTCCACGGAAAATACGCCCAAAGGTACTTTCTTGGAGAACATCTTTTAGTGTTATCCTCTCCCTGGATATTGCTATATCCTTCACTTTGGCTTTGGCTTCCAAAAGAGTGACACTTCTCAGGTTGTTCTTCTCTATCCGCAAGGTTGGATAACCTGAGGAGCTGGTGATGGGAGTTGCATTGTTGGGTGTGTTGGCCCTCAGGTACTGAGTTGTCTGGGTGGATGGCTGGGACAGCCCCTGGGAACTACTACTGGCACTGATGCTGTCATCCAGTTCAATTCTTTCCATACTATGAAGGTGCAAAACAGCTAGTATTATTGCTACAAGAAATATTACTGCACAACAAACCCCTACACTGATATAAAATACAGACGTAGAAGTGGTTGGAGCTGCATGTACAGGATCCTAAATAGTTCTGCTAGTGTTTTTGTCCAATGCTGAAGTTTTTACTTAAGTTTTTTGTAGCACATTTTCCTTCGCTTAAAATTTAGGACTAAAATTTTTTGAAGAATTTACTGTCAAGTTGAGCTGCATTAGTATCATAACTTCAGCATCTACTTTGCCAGTACAAGAAAGCGCAACCTGAAACACTGATAAAGTGCGTGGAACTTCCCCCCTGAACAGAAATGTTGACCTGGAGCATGTCCATGGCCACAAAATTGTCTACTTGGAATCCAAGTTTACCTTCAACCTTGGACTTTGCATGCATACCAAGTGAAGTGCAGGACATTTGTCTCACTGGGTACTAACAGGTTAAATGACAGAGCGTAGTGACTAATGTCGTTTCTCACAAAATGAAGTTCTGCATCAAGACCAATGAGCCGACGCACCTCGTCCTCGCTCAGCTAGAGGCTCACGCTGGGCCCCGCGCCCGCGGGCTGCAGGGCCAGGGGTGGCGGCGGCACCGGGCATGGGCAGCAAAGGTAGCAGAGCTAGCAGCTGGGGAGGGACCCCCAGACCACGGGCTCTGGAGAGGCGGCCCCGGCCCAGCCGCCCAAACCGCGCCGCCCCGCGCATGGCTGCCGCTGCCGCCGCGGAGGGGAGCCCGCCGCCCGCCGTGCGGCCACCCACCCCTGGCTCCGAGCCCCTCGCAGCCCCGAGCCGGGGGCGGTCACCCAGCTCATCGCACCGGCCCGTGACAGCCAGCCGCAGCTTCAGCGCGCCGCCGCCGCCTGCTCGGCGGCTGCGTCCACGGCTGGGGGCTGTCCGCGGAGGCGCGCCCGTGCGACCTCTGCCCCACTTAATGCCTCTTCTTAAGATGTTTCCTACTACATGTTTCTAACTTTGTAAGGTATGAAGTTTGAAGAGGCCAACTGAATAATGTTGAAAGCCACTTCTAGGCCTGAGTTCCCATAGGACCTACCCTCCAGGGAACAGGTAAAGGGCTGTTTATGTAATTCAACAATTGAACAGCCTCAGGTCAGTCACCTGTGGTATTGTTTCCAGATGATGAAACACTGTGAACAGTGGCAAGAAAGGACAAGAAGGAATGCTTCAGGGTCACCAGATCATCAGAACTAACATGGATGGAGGAAAAGACCATGCACAACTGATATATCAGGACAGTAAGATTCTAGTCAGTAAAAACACAGCTAATGGGTGTAGTTGTACACACCTGTAGCCCCAGTTACTTTCAAAGCTAAGTTAGGAGAATCACTGGAGAGCTCCAATGAGGAATCAGCCTGGGTAACAGTGAGATACCATGTCAAAACAACAGAAAGAACAATACAAAAAAATAACCCAGGTACATGGGCAGCCCTTAAGTTCTAAACAAGGAAATAAAAGATCTGACAGATTTTCAAGGAAGAAGAGACCTTGCAGGTTTATAAACTTTCCTTATATTTTCTGGACTTTATCTTTCTCTCTTCATTTGTTGAAAAGTTATACTTCCTGCTCTGGGAACTCTGTCCTTGCTTGGCTTTTCTACAGGGTTGTTACCTTTGTAAGCAGTTTCTGGCAACTCTTTCTGTTTGGTGGGTGGTCTGTAATCCTTTTTGTTCATAATAAGATGTAATTCGTTTTTCTGTTTGTCTTTTACCTTTGTTTTTAGTGTTTAAAAATTTTCTACATTGCAAAATAAAACATTACATCAAACTGCACTGAGTAATTGAACAGTTAATTAGTAATGTGAAAACTTGTATTTTTTAATCAATTTTTAAAGGTGCTATATGTTTAGATTTGGGGTTGTAATTAATGTGATAAAAGGGGATTACCATTTCCCTCATGAACATCTGTGCATTCATTTGGGGTATCCAGTGAGTCCTTCACCTACCTTTTCTATAATGTATCTTGTATGGTGTTGATCAGTATACCCTACTCCTGATCTGAAACGCCATATTCTGCATCCTTACAGTGTAAACTCTTGATCTGGAGCTTCTGTTGTTCTTCATTGGTCTTACTGTCCATTATTACACTGGTTCCACACATTTTAATTCTTGGCCTTTGTATTTCAATGGAGGTAGGGGAGATGTGTCCTTGTGTTGTGGGAGTGTCTTTTTTTGACCACGTTGAGCTTGAGTTGCCAGTAAGAAGCCTAATGAAAGAATTCAAATGGGATCTGCTGTGACTAAAGCAGAAAAGGATCTCCTGTCTATCCCCTGCCTCTCAAAGGTTGAGATTCTTAAAATCCTGCTATCAACAAAGTGAAATCTTCAGGCCGAGGAGGGAAAAAAAAGGAACACAGTTGTTGCTTTGACTGAAATTCACATGTTATGCCAGTACCAGCTGTATTGTTTATGTCATGTCTACGTATCAGATGATGGTCAGGCAGGAGTTCTAATTTCCTTAGAATTAAGATGTGTCATGTGAATGTTTCAATATCTCATGATGAATGTAATCATTACACACTGCAAATATAGTACCAAAAATTGAAAAGAAAAAAAAAAGCTTTCACTTACTGTGTAGTTGGGTTTAAAGCTGCACATGTGGGTGCAGGGGGTGAGACTATGCCTCTCTGCTGAGGGGTTTGGCAAAATGCCATTAACCCACCATCTTGACTCCAGCTCTCTGGTAAATTTCCTGAAGGAGGCTATCCCCTAACCCTGCCTGGGACAAGCCAGTAGTCATCCAGTACCCCTTGAAATGAAAGTCTAGGGTGCCAGGGGTCTTGCAGTTGCAGCCAGACAACTGCTACAAGAGTCAGGTAAGGTTATTACTGTGTAATCCCTGTGGGAGGAGTGGGCAGCTGGATGACTGAAATGTCCCTTAGTGACACAGGAAAGAAATGTAAGTGGTTCCCCTATGGTCTAGCATTTAAGATTCCTGTTTTTCACCCAGGTGGGCCATATTGAACTGGAAATCAGACTAGGTTCAACTACTGTTCCTGGATTGGTTGGTTTCGTTTTTCTTCCAACATGGAAGCATTTGCCAGAATTTTAGCTGCCCAGTACTAGAATGCCTGAGGCCAAATTGGAAATTTCCTCTCTGTTAGAATCTAGAGATATGGAAGCTAAGCAAACTCTGGGCCTTGTGTTTTCATTAAAGGGACAATTTTTGGTATAATCTAGTTTTATCTATCAATAACTGTATATTGATATCCACATTATGAATGTGACTAGTGCTATAAATATTGAAATATAATATTCAAGACTCATTGTGATCAGTATCCTTTGTGGAGGGCTAGGCTGACCCTAATCTCACCCTGGAGTATAGAGCAAATACAGGATAAGGGGCTGGGGATGAGAGGAGACAGTGGGGAGGGAAAAGATGACGGGTTCAGAACTGAACAGGTGCTGCCTTCCTTGGCAGGAACTGCTGAGAGGGCACAAGAGTAAGATGAAGTCTGAAAAGAGGTTGAAAGAGGAGGCGAGAAGCTGAGAGGCGATCACTAACAATTCAGCTTTCTCTGACCTTGCTGCTGTTTGTCTGCTTTGTTTGGCCTAGAGGTCAAGGGTCTTAGTTTCTCACTCCCAATCTGGGCTTGATACCCTCCCTCATGTATAGAACCAACTTCAAACTTTTAAATGACCCCTCTGTGTCAACACACACACTTCCCACTATAAAGAGAACCTAGTGAGCACTGTGGCATGTGCTTGTGCTCCCAGCACTTGAGAGGTTGAGGCAGGAGGGTGGCAAGTTCAAGGCCAGTCCAGGCAACTTAGGCACTTAGACTGAAAATAAGAAATTTTTAAAAAGAATGGTGGTGATGCAGATGTAGCTCAGTGCACAGGCCCTGACTTCAACAATTTCCAGTACTGACAAAAAAAAAAAAAAAGAAACAAACAAACAAACCTATTTAGCTTGCTAATTTGTTCTCTTAATCTAAGAAGATTTACACAGGGCTGAGGTCCTGTTTTCAGGACTGTACCACTACACTCATTGGTTCAACCATCCATATTTTCCTATTTTGGAAAATTGCTTCTACAATAACTTTATACCAATTAAAATAAAATACAATGGTTGCTAGTCCAGCATGTAAAGATTGTAGAAGTCACTTTCATCACACTTGTGGTGGTAATTATGTCCTTATGTTCTTGATGAGAGAATTAAGTCACAGAAAATCACTGTGAAAGAAAAAGCAGGATTTATTGCAAAATAAACAGCATAATGTGAAAATTCTTCCTTATGATAAAGGGCGACAAGAGCCAAGGTAGCTGCTGCACCAAATACAAGTTTAAATTTTATTTATATAATTTCTGTTAGGATATTCCACCTTTTGGGGCCCAATCAAGTCCTTTTCTGAGTCCTTTCAAATGTCAATAAGGAAAGGAAAAGACTGACATCAGTATTTGTGAAAAATCAAATGAAACCTTCCTAGGATCTCTTCAGAATCAGGCACGTTGGTTACCTTGGAGATTATATTGTTCCTAAATATGTTCCACAGTTAAAGTCTTACCCCAATCTGGGTAGATCTTAAATTTTATTTTTATTCTCTTTTATTGAAATGAGGGGGCTGTAGGCCATGGCAACTAGGAATGTGGAATGTCTAACTTTTTAAAAAAATAAATGGCTAACTGTGTGGTGCAGCTGTGCACATTTCTGACCTTAAGATTTCATTGTGCTCCTAATACAAAGTCAGTCAT